AGCCAATAACAAAGACCTGGGGCCAGTGAGCAGTGCAGTCTGTTCAGCTTCTTAGCAAACAGTCTATATCGATATTCTCAGGTGCTGAGCTCAGGGTTGCATGTTTAGGTGAGGGATGGCGATGGCAGGCTCTTGGAGGAAGCCATTACTCATTGGCTCATTGTTTCAGTGGTGGCGGGTGTCCTTCAGGTAGAGGACATCCGGGTCTTCCCTTGGTGCCTGGCACTTTTGGTGGAGAAGATAATGTAGAAAAAAGTAAATGAGCCTCAGTGGGTTGACAGTATCTTCAGAGAGGCCAGGGAGGAGGGAGGAGAGCAGTGGGCAGTCCCGGCAGGCAGACAGCAACCCTCTGGGGGGTGCCAGAATTGGAGATCCAGGGCGATCTGCTCCGCAGAAGAAGGGAGGAAGCTGTCTGTGTGCAGGGTGGCTGGGAGCCAGGCAGGCACGGGGAATCTTCAAGGGGATAAATACTAAGAGATTTCCATCCCTTTTGGGACCAGAGCCAGGGAAAGAGGCCAAAATTCCAGGGAACACAGCCAGGACAGGGTTATTATAATCCCTAGGAGAATTCATTTGCCAGCTACTAAAGCAAAAGCAAGCAGCACCCTGAAATGGAGACTAGCTATTTTGGAGCAATTAGCCATTGGTGCCTGCTGCTGTCTTTGGAGAAACTCCAGAAGTCAGCCGGGTATGGAGGAGGGCAGGAAGTTGTGGTTTGCTGCAGGGAGATGACTCCATCCCTGCTATCTCTGCCCACCTCATGCTCATAATGAATGCAACATTGGACCTGAAGGTCCCAGGGGCTCCATGACCCAGCCAGGAGCCATGGCAGCCTCAGTCCCCAGGATACTCCATGGAGCACCTGTCCAGTCCAGATGCTGTACTCACATCAAGCCCCAAACCCTCTAAGCCCAATGCCCAAGGAGGCTTTAGGGCTTTGGAGATAATGATTCACCAGAAGTTATTTATGAAAAAGAGAAAGGCAAAAGAGGTCTTTACCTTTCCTTTTCTGTCAATCATGTGTTGTAAAAGTCTAGTTTCCCAGCGTGGCTTCTTTAACAGCACCAGAAATTATACAATGAAATAGCAAAAACACAAATAATCCAATTAAAAATAAGCAAGGGCCTGGTCAGATATTTTCTCAAAGATATACAGATGGCCAACAGGTACATGAAAAGGTGCTCACTACACTGATCACCAGGGAAAGGCAAATCGAAACCACAATAAGCTACCACTTCACACCTGTTAGGATGACTTAAAAAACAAGGTCAGTGATGGGAAGTCCATGTAGATTGCAGCTGAGATGGAAAATGGCGCAAAATGATGTAAAATAAACTATTACAATAAAAAACAAAAACAAGGTCAGGTGGGCCCTCCCTGGTGGCGCAACCAGTTAGGATGTAGCACTGCAAGCTGGCCACAGCTGCTTCAGGAGTTTGACCCCCAGCCCCGGGAGGTGACCCACAAGGCACAGCAGACCTCTCCTGACCCGCCCACTGCTCCCCTCAGCAGTGTACTTCATCAATCTGCCTGTTCTGCTCCCCACTCTGTCTCTGGTGAATCCTCTCACCGCCCCTGCAACTATGGCCTGTACCCCAGTTCTGCATGCATAAATAAATATCTTAAAAAAAAAAACAAAAAAAAAAAAACAAGGTCAGGTGTGGAGAAAAGGGGACTTGTGTCCTGTGTACTGTTGATGGGGCTGTGGCCTCAATGACCACTATAGAGAATAGTATGGAAGTGCCTCGGAAAGTTAAAAATCGAACTATCCTATGGTCTACAATTTCACTTCTGGGTGTTTATCTGAAATAATGAAATTACTGTCTTGAAAAATGACATCCACACACCCATGCTCATTGCCATGTTCTTCAGTCAAGACGTGGAAACAACCTAGGTGTCTATCAGTGGGCAGGCAGTGAAGATGCAGTATACATATACAGTGGAATAAAAGTGACATGGAAAAAGGACTATCTACCATTTGTGACACAGTGGTTAGCCCCTGAGGGCATTATGTTAAGTGAGACAAATCAGAAAGAAACACAAATGCTGTATGCAATCACTGACATGTGCAATCTGCACAACAGAAGCAATACACAAAACAAAAACAAACTCAGAGAAAACATGGGGAGCTGCGAAGGGGCAACTGGAATAATATAGTCAAATGTACAAGCTTCCAGTACTAAGATAAATACTGGGAATGTAGCTTAACATGACTAAAGCCACACTGATTTGTGCTATATTTGGATGTTGTTAAGACAGTAGAGCCTGAAAGTTCTCAGCACACACACACACAATCTATTTGCCTTTTGTATCTGTACAAAATTATGGATATTAATTATCTAAACTTTTTGTGATAATTTTTTCACAGTGTATGTTCATCATTAGGCCATGTATCCAAAAAAGAATAGAGCATACTTCATAAATTACAGCTCAGTATAGCTGCAAGAGAGAAAAAAAGGAAGAACCAGAAAGATGCTGGGGGTTAAGATAGGTATAAAGGTGAACTTGCACTTAAAATCATGAAACTGCTAATCAATAAAGGAATGAGCTATTGCCCTTTTCTCTTGATACTGCCTATTCGGAAAACTTCTACATTTTGGTCTTCCATGTGTTGGGGTTTTTTTCTGGCATCCTTGGGCGGGAACCCCTGGAACAGGTATGGCTCATTTGCCTCAGTTTGGGGCTCTGTGCAATTGTGGGGTGAACCTTGTATCCACTTTCCTGTCCGTCTCTCTGACCTTCCTGTGGACTTGCTGTGGTCACTTGCTGGAAATAAACCCCATGGGCATAGAAAGAGGCTAGGTGCTATCTGAATTGAACAAAATAACAACAAACTTCCAACTTTATGAAGCAAGAGTGGTGATGAATGTTTTCGTTAGCCCACACGACTGCATTGAACACAGGGAGAACTAATTAGGAGGCATCTGTTCCAACTGCCTGGATAGATGAACTCTGGGGAGAGGAGAGGTGAGCTGAAGAGTATATGGAGATGAGCCACGAGAACAATGTCAAGTTAAAGCCGGTTTTCCCAGCAACTCTTTGAGCAAAAGATGTTTGTGCGTTGAGACATAACTTTCCAGCACTGACAAATCACTGCCACCAACTTTCCAAAGCAGAGGTCCTGGCTGCTGCCATGATGCTCTTGCTCCAAGTTAAGAAGTGATACAAGTCACACTGTCCATTTCCGGTTATTTTGTGATCGGTTAATTGGAGTAGGTTAGCGCCTTCCTAGCCTGAAGTTGAATTGCCTTTGGAGGATTCACATGTCCGTGGACATCCGTGGGACCACATGGGGGTAACGGAGAAGATAGATCAAGATCTCAAGAGGCAGTTCCAGTAAATCCTGAGCGGACACCAAAGTAGACTGAGAGAGCACAGATAACAGACTGTCCTAGAGGAGTTTACGAGGCTAATCCCCAAAGGGTTTCCTAGAGGAACCCCCTCTCCTACATGAGAGTGTAACAGGGTGGCCTACAGGAAAAGGCGAAGTTCAGGTTCCCTGCCCCACCCGGAGGAGGGTGGAACTGAGCAGAGAAAAGGAGTCTGAAGGAGAAGGAAGCAGGATGGAGAGCCAGAAGCAGCCCTGAGGGAGCCACCTGGAGCAGAGAGCATGTGATGAAGAAACCGTGCTTGTTTCTGGCCTTGGGCTGGTTAAGGCGGATGTGGGTGAGAGACCTGGGGGGAGGTTGACTATGGCAGCCTTCATCTTAATTTTGATTATGCTCTTTTCCTCCCATACTTGTCTGGCCATTTCTGATCCTTTTTCATGGGTCCCTGCTGGAAAGTGCTTTATGCTTGTGGCAGGCTTTCAGGCCTTGTGTTGGGCCAATCCTTTTTGGGTGGACTTTTACCCACGAAGGGATGGATAACTTCAGGTGTTTGATTTAGAAATTATGTTCTTTGTCTTCTGTATTGCACACTGATTGTATTAAAATTCCTTTCCATTAAAGTCTTATATGTTTTTTTCTTGATGCAGTGGATGACAGAACCTATTTTGAGTGGGCAGGTTTAGGAGTTCAGGGGTGCCCCCTCTCCCTGCCCTGTAACAAGAGAGTAACAAGTTTCCCTGGGGTTCACCCCACCTCTGGGGGGACAGGTTGGGAGCCGGTGATACCTGCCTCCAACACAGCACAGTTTAGGTACTGGATGTTTCTGTGAGATGTCCAGCCTCTTTGAGATAGGTTGAGGAGAGAGGAGGGGAGAGGATTCACCAGAGACAGAGCGGGGAGCAGAACAGGCAGATCGATGAAGTACACTGCTGAGGAGAGCAGCGGGCAGGTCAGGAGGGGAAATGACTCTTCACTGTGACTTCCAAGGGAGCTAATAGAGCCCCAGGCAGCAGCCATGGTGCAGATGACCCCGTCTCCCAGTCATGGGTGGGTGTGCGTTTCTTCACCTTCCCATGTAAAAGAGTTGGTATATCTGAAGCACTCAGTTTGGGGGGAAAATCCCAGGGACAGGCAGTTTGAGATTGAATTGATCTTTTCAAGACCCGACCGAGACAAGGTCCCTGCCTGTGACACTGGTTCTTCTCTGAAACCCTTACTTAGGACCAGGTCGTTCCCTCACTGCACCTGGACAGCCCCACCTGCACAGGTATGGTGCCCTTCCTGGCACTTGAGCCTCTCCTCCTGGGTACTGCCTTGCATGTGATCTAGTGCAAAGCTTTGGGGTGGTAGAGGGGGTTTAGGGGCCAGTGGGCTAGTGGCATAGGGACAGGGAGCAGGGAAATTAATTTCTTGTTTTTTTCTTTCCTGTCTGCTCCTCACAACCCCTGGCACATGTATGTTAGTCCAGCAGAAGATGATAAAAAGCTTCCCAGAGGATGTGCAGCAGAAGATGATAAAAAGCTTCCCAGAGGATGTGCAGGAAGAAAAGAGCAATCCTACTTCTTTGCTTGAAAGTTGGAAGAGTTTCTTGCACATAGTGATCATCAAATCACCCTGTGTTTATGGTCCTATCAGCTGGGTGACTGGAAGAGTGTTTATCTCCTCCCTGGGTCACTGCCAATTCACCTGCGTGGTATATTCTTTGCCAGAGTCATAATCCAAAGATTGCTGTGCGTGCAGGTCATGCCTCAGGTAGTACATTACCTCGGCATGCGGGGGAGGCACAGCCGCCAAAGCCCCCAGCGAAGCTGAACCTCGGCTGGGCTGGGAAGGGGCTGCAGCACAGCCCCAGGCCAGAGAGGAGGCGGGACGCGGAGCCACGGGCACCCCACCCAGCGGCCGCTCTGCCTCCACTCGCCAGGAGGGGGCTCTGCTAATGAGCGAGAACCTGTTGGCAGGCGCGGTGGCCCTCCCGCCCTCAGGACAGGCGCGGACAGCAGGCGGGACTGCAGCCAGAGGGTAAAAAGGACTTTGAGAATTCAGAGAGGAGACTGGCGCCACAAAGAGGCCTGTGAGGCTGACAGGAAGTTGGTAGCCAACACAGGCACAATCTGGCGGCCTCAGCGGGGAGGTGGGGGGTCTGGCGTGCCCGGTGTGTGGCTGCACCATCTGAACATCTTGATTTGCTGCTAATTGAGCAGCCTGACACGAGCAGAATCACGTGAGCCAGATGCAGCTGAGACTGGAGACGCTGGTTCCCAGAGCTCACTGGGGAGTTCAGGGAACCAACTGCCATGGGCTGCCGAGAGAGCTGGCCGTGCCAGGGCCGGGCCTTCCGGGCCTCCGAGCCCCCGGGATCCAGGGGGCTTGGCACAGACCCCAGGAAGACCTGGCTTCGGAGCTGCTCTTGCCTCACCAGCCCTCCAGCTGGCAGCACCGGGATCTTCACGTCACCACAGTGGCATCATGGCAGCCCCAGCAGCCCCCACGTGTGCTCAGTAGTAATGCGCCCGTGCTGTCTTGTTCACAACTTCATCTGGCCAATGTTGGTAGCTCGCTTAGGGATGAGGAGATCTGGGGCTCGGGAAGGCTGGGTAACAGCTACTCTGCCATAGTGCTGGGATGTGATTCCAGGGGTACTTGGCTGTAGAATCTATGATTGACAGCCTCGAAGGGTATAATCTGGAGAAATAAAAGGGAATTGTCGCTCGTGGTTTAGCATCATTTCCTGCAGGTTCATCCAATGTTTTCTTCTTCTTTTTTTTTTTTAAAGATTTATTTATTTGTACAGAACTGGGGTACAGGCCAGAGATGCAAAGGGTGAGAGGCTTCACCAGAGACAGAGCGGGGAGCAGAACAGGCAGATCGACGAGGTACACTGCTGAGGGAGCAGTGGGCGGGTCAGGAGAGGTCTGCTGCGCCATGTGGGTCACCTCCAGGGCGGGTGGGGATCGAACTCATGCGGAAGTGGCTTTAGCTTTTTAGTGCAGTGCTTTAACCCGCTGCGCCACCGGGGAGGGCCCGTTTTCTTATTTTTTAAAGCTGAGTGATGTTCCATTAGCAGTATCTGTAACACTTTTCTTATCCATTCATTAGTTCGTGCATTTATCAGCCCATGGACATTTAGGTGGTTTGCACATCTTGTCTGTCATGAATAACAGGACAGTGAACATGGGGATGCAGCTAATCCCTTTAGGATCTTGATTTCCATTGTTTTGGGTAAATCCCAAGAAGTGAGATTGCTGAATTAGAACAGGTTGGTGATTCTATTTAGGAGGTGTCTAAAACAGTTAGATTCATAGAAGCAAAGATTAGAATGGAGGTTGCCAGGGGTGGGGGGAAAGGCAATGGGTATAACATTCAGTTATGCAAGATAAATATGAGCCAGAGAGCTGGTATAAACCCATGTCTACAGATAACCACCCTCTGTGGTGCATTTAAATATCTATTAAGCAGGTCAATGCCATGGTGAGTGTTCTACAACAATACAATCATATTTTATTATTATTATTTTGATTGATTTATTATTTATGTACACAGAACTGTGGTACAGGCCACAGGTGCAGGGGCGGTGAGAGGGTTCACCAGAAGCAGAGTGGGGAGCAGAACAGGCCGACTGACAAAGTACACTGCTGAGGGAGCAGCGGAAGGGTCAGGAGAGGTCTGCCGCACCATGTGGGTCACCTCCGGGGTGGGGATCAAACTCATGCTGAAGTGGCTTTAGCTTCTTAGTGCTGTGCTTTAACCCCTGCACCACCAGGGAGGGCCTTATTATTATTACTTTTTTATTCCTTTTATTTTGAATTGAACTTTCACCCTGGCCATAAGTTTTTGTTTCTTCAATTTCTTCTGGGATTTTTTTCTTTGTGCAACCTCCTCTTCTAGTTTAGGGACAATCTGCTCTTTTTTAGAAAGGATCATCTCGATGTGGCTGGTGGAGCTCATGAATGGGTTAAATTCAACATGCGTTCTGGAAGTTTTGCTACTCATCTTAGGGACTTTGTACACCTCTAGATCGTAGATTCTCCAGTCATTGAGCACTTCGAGGTGAACAAAGTCCCTAAGATGAGTTCGACATTACTCGCTGCATATTTAAGCACTTGCAGTAAGAATTCAGCACTCTTTTTTGGCCAACGACCCACTGTTGGACACACTTTTAGCACCACCATTGGAAGGACAGAATGCCATGCTCTGCTTCTGTCAAGTGACATCCTTCAGATACTTGGTGGCTTTTCGGATATGCTTACCCTTGGTGGCTTGGGCTGTTTCACGAGGGTTCTTCAAATGAACACGGAGATTTGAACCTCTTGATTTGCATGACTCTGTAGGGTTTTCTGGATCAAGTGAGTAGTGAACCATTTTCAGAGATGACTAAGGCCGCTTTTGGGAAGAGTGAAATCATATTTTAAATAAAAGAAAGAAGGCAGGGAACTGGCATGGCCCCCTTAGACGTATCACTCGTGAATTTTGTTATAACATTTTTATCCTAAATATAAGTGAGGAAGATTTAGGGCACTGGTGTAACAATGATCTTTTCCTCACTGAACACTTTACAGAATAAGCTGTCTAAGCAGTTTTTCCACCGATAGTCATATTTAGTCTTCATAACTAAACTCATGACAGGGATATATGCTCCATCTTTCCAGATGTGCGGAAAGAGACCCAGGCAATGGGGAGGCTCCCCCGGCGACATGGCCTTTGTCCACAAGCCCAAGTGCCCCACCAATGACCACTTGGTGTCACTGGGAGAATCAGCATCAGCACAGAGCATTGATTTCCACCTGACTGTGGGCCTCAGTGCGAGCCAGGCCCTTGCAGCTCAGCTTTCCTTTGGCAAGTGTTCACGAGCCTGTTCCAACCACTGTGCTCATTTTTGTGGTGTCATCCTTCAAATCCATTTGTTCCATTATGTGATTAATCCAGTGGATTAGGCCAGCGCAAAGAGACTTTGATGTTGCAGGAGGAGTGTTTAAGTATCTCTCTCTCCCTCTCTCTTTTCATCGGAAAGCTTCTCCCTCCTGAGTGCATCCTAGGAAAGGATGGCAGGGCACACACAGGTGTGTGCCTGTGTGCCAGGGTATAGGTCCCTGCAGACGAGAAAAGTGGCAGAAGTGAAGGGAAAGGTCTGCAGGCTCACGTTTTTCTACTGAAAGTAAAAAATCAATCCATGACCTTAAAGAAGTTTATGAATTCCTAGCTTAGGAATCAATGCTCATTGATTTTTGTGCCTCTGCATGGGCTGTGCATGTACACTATCAAATGATGAAAGCTGTATTTTGTTGGGCTTGGAATGGGGATAAGCAGATGCCATTTCTACCAGATTGCCAAGAGTAAAGAAGGAGAAAAAGCTCATTCTGCGGTGGTCTCAGTCCAGAGCCTGGGGCCTCTAGCTGTAATTGCTGTGTTTTCTGGGAACGGGGCTCAACCTCATGGATTCCTGAGTGCAACATTCCAGCCCTCTGCCTCACACCCCTTCCTCAGCTGTCTCAAACCATTTTTTGCACACAATTTCCCTTTTCTGGGATGGTTTTCTCAGCTCATATTTACAAGTGAAGTATTGCTAAGAAAAAGAATGGTGGGGGGCAAGGCAAAGAGGCCCATGACAGACTGTGTAAAGCAAAGGAACCTAAATAGTTTCCTTCTGAACAATGTTTGCATACATTAGCTCATCTGATTACCATAACACCCCTAGGAATTGGGCAGGTATGTATCATTTTCCTCATTTTCCAAATAAGAAAACTCATGACTTGGTTAAGATTATATTGCTGGCATCTAACAACGTGCACATACACCCAGGTCTGCTGCCACCTCCAGTGTCCTACTGGGGTGACTCCTCCAGTGTCCAGAGGTCAGATAAGCTATATTAAATGGAACCTATTGGTTAAAGGAGAAGCATGATCTTTACACATAGGAACACTATATAGATGTGAACAAATCATGCAAAAAAGGCTTGGGTCAGTGTAGAAGAAAAACCACAAATATTTGGGGGCATTGAATTGGAAGAATCTGGGCAAGAGAAAGAGACAAGCTGAAGCTGTGACTTGGGTCCTGTTGGGCTAGCAGGTGGGACACTAACTTTAGAATTGCCAACCCTGAGGTGTAGGGGTTAAGTCTCAGCACTGTCACTGCTAAGGCCTGAATTTTGAATTTGATCCCCACCCCTTCCCCACCCCACCCCCCACTCCCACCCAACCAGCCAGGGAGCTGACCTGCATATATAGTGGCAGACCTCTCCTGTCTTGCCTGCTGCTCCCTTCAGTAGTGTATTTCAGTAGATCTGCCTGTTCTGGTCCCCACTCTGTCTCTGGTGAATCCTCTTAACGCTGCACCTCTGGCCTATACTCCAGTTCTTTTATGCATAAGTAAATCTTTTCTTCAGGAAGGAAGGGAGGGAGGGAAGGAAGAAGGGAGGAAGGGAAAGTGGGAGGGGAGGGATTTTGCAGGCAGTTCAGTTACTGGGTGCTCTGCCTTCATGGGTGAGGTCTCTGGAACTCACCCCCCCCCCCCACTCCTGACTCCTGATTGCTATTCCTGCCTTAATTTCTAGTTCAGTTGGTGTCACTAGGATTGGTCTGGTCTAGGATCCCAGTGCCACCCCCCTTCCTTATTAGTAACCAAGTCATTTTTTTTTTAAGATTTATTTATTTATTTATACAGAAGTGGAGTATAGGCCAGAGATGCGGAGGGTGAGAGGATTCACCAGAGACAGAGCAGGGAGCAGAACAGGCAGATTGAGAAAGTACACTGCTGAGGGGAGCAGCAGGCAGGTCAGGAGAGGTCTGCCGTGCCATGTGGATCTCCTCCGGAGCAGGAGGGGATTGAACTCATGCAGAAGTGGCTTTAGCTTCTTTGTGTTGTGCTTTAACCTGCTGGACCACCAGGGAGGGCCCCAAGTTGTTCTTATTTGACTTCTTACAATTTTCTTGGCTCTTTCTTTTATTCCTCCTATCTCTCTCCTAGTTATGCTCTCAGGATACCATAATATCTTATCTGATTTAGATAGGAATACTTATGGATATTTACTGGATTCAAATAAAAGCAAACCTACTATGGTAGAGTAAGCCATGGGCAGAATTAGCTCTGACTCCTCCCCTTTTCCTCTGCACTTTGCTTCCTCTCTAAACAGAGGCCACACCCTGGCTTGCTCCATGGGCCTACAGACAAAATGGGGGAGAGGCCATCTGGCCTGCTGAAGCACTCCCCAAACCTTGGAACAATCTGTTGGGGGAATCACTTCTAACAACCAGATCACATAGGGAGTTTGACAGAGAAATTAAGGTGAGTTATCAAGATATATTTCTTATACACACCTAAATTCATGGACTGTGATTCATAGATATAATAACCCATGTTTGGCCAATAAAAACTGAAGAGACTTTCAAATGTTATGATGAAACAAAGAACGTTTCAGGTCTCTCCCATCATCTCTGCCCCCAGTGATATAGCCGAACACTGTAACTGGCCACTCCATCCCCCAGTCTAAACCCCTGGGTGCTCATCCCTGTCTGCAGGATCTCTGTGATCCCGCCTCCGCCTCCGCCTCCTTCCCTCACCTCTCCAGTTTCCTTCCTCATGGCTGGCTGTGCTAAGAGCTGCCATCTTCATGCCTCCGTAGCTGTTTCAGACCAACTGCCTTGCCTCATGCCACATTCTTGACCCCCCCCCTCCCTCCATTCCCTTATCACCTGGGTAATTTCCACCTAAAGCTACAACTATTCTCCTTGGACATCACTTCTTCCAGAAACTCTTCTCTCACTGCACGCTCCTTTCTCAGAGCACTCTTCCCCCATTGTGGTGTTGGCAGCTCCCAGCTGGCAGCTCCCAGCCACACAGGCAGAATCAGCACAAGCTCAGCCCTAGGCCCCCAGGCAGGAGGCAGGCCTCCTCTGGCATCAGAACATGGGGCGTGGTTTCTGAGTTCCTGCCCAGATGCCTTTCTCCCTTCCTGTGTGCGTGCACTCTGCTGTGGATCGTGTGAGTGAGGTTGGGTGCACACCTACATACGTACATCAAGATGCACACCTGGGAGAAGCATCAGAAAGAGAGGACATGTTTCTTCATTCTTGTGGGTCTGTATTTATTTGATCTGGAGGAAGCCTGCCAGGGAGAGGCTCAAACCCAATCTGCAATGCTGATTCTTAATCAGAGCAGCCTGTTCTAGAAGCTGGTTTATAACTGTAGGGGAGGAAGTCCCTTAGTGGTCTCTGGAAATACTTGCCAAGAACACACCTGCTCCGTGGTCAGTAGCTGTCATTGTTGAAGTGGGCAGGAGGGGCAGTGACAGGACAGCCAGGGGAAATGGTGAGGGGTGGCTGGGGCAGGACACAGGTGTACGGTGAGGCGAGGGCATACCAGCAAGATGTGAGGGCTTCTCATATTTTGTGGAAAAAAAAATCAACTCAAAAATATAGTGAAAAGGAGAATAAATAGCCTGCAGCCTGAAGGAGCCAATTCCTCACAGACAATTCATTCTAATCACTATGGGGAAGGCAGTTGGGCAAATTATCAGGGGTTAATCTCTCCAGTCAGCAGCCAGAGGCGGTCCCACAGGGTGGATTACTCTGCTTGGGGATCTTCCTTTTCATCTGTTCCTTTCATTCTGGGGAGGGGGATCATAAGAGAGTGGGAGAGTGAATTTATTGAGCTAGATGAGGGAGTGTCAACCTGGGCACCATTTACCTTTGGGATTGATAATTCTTTGTTGTAGACGCCTATGGGGCAGCACCCCTGGTCTCTACACACTAGATGCCTGCATCTTCCCCTGCCAGTGGTGACACTCAAAATTGTCTCTAGACATTGCCAAATGTCCCTACCCTTGGTTGGGAAACCCTGAACTCAGGTCTGTGTTGGGAGCTTCACACATATTATCTCATATAATTCTCCCATGGACTTTTCTACTTCCATTTGACTGACAAGAAACAGGCTGGGGATAGAACTATCTGACAGTAAAATCTTGGGTCTCTTTATTACACCAGAGTCTGTTCTACATTCCCTGACTGAGGGATAGTCACTGAGCTTGGCAAAACTCGGGTAAGTTTGACAATGACACCCTTCTGTGACACAGGTTGACCTCAGAGGTGACTGTATAAATATCTGAAAGAACATCTGATACAACTTTAACCAAAATCTTAGTCCTGGTGGGGTGAGGGTAGGAAGTAGTGGAAGAAGAACACAGAAGTAATACGTTAAGGCAATTCATATCTCAGCGTGAAAAAATCCACCAGACACGAATTCACTGGAAGTACTTTCTCTACCAGCTCCCATTTCAATCAGAGTGGGACTGAAGTAGAAGACCATAAGCAAAAGCAAAGAAAAAGCTCTTCCTCCTGATATTAGAATGTCAAGAGAAAAACGTTCAT